CGAAGTCCTCGAAGCAAAGTGCTATCGTCTCGACTCCGAGTTTCAATGATCTGTTTTGTCCTTGCTACCTTGTTCTGAGGCAGATGGCTCTGTGGTTTCCTGGGGTCGCGCACTCTACTTCCCAAATGGCCCTGAGACCTTCTCCGACGTGGTCAGCATCACCACCAGCATCCATTCGTTTGCGGCCGTAAAGACGGATGGGAGCGTGGTGGCCTGGGGTGGTCCATCAGAAGGTGGCTCGATATCCGCTGCTCCGCCTGATTTCATTTGGAGTTCCCACATATTCGCGTTCGCACGATTTCGCGCGCAATTAAGCTCTGGCAACTTGAGCAACTTGAGGCTGTGGCCGCAGACTTGACCTCCGGTGTCAAGTCCATTGTGTCCAGCAGCCATGCGACTCGATCCGAGCTTTTAGGGTGCAGAAGAATCTCAAGCTAGTTTCAGCTGAGTGCGAAGACATGGCAATCGCATGGTGAAGACACCCGCTATCCCAGGTCATGGTGGCCGTGAAAGATGATGGGAGCGTCGTTGCATGGGGGACCGGCTTTCGAGGCGCCGACATCCCCGCGGCCGTGTCCTCCTCCCTCGCCAGCGGCGTTGCCGAGCAGCGACAGCAAAGATTCTTTATACACAGTTAACTGTCAACGTTACGTGCTATGACTCAGCTATGACTGGCTAGGACCCTCATCCTTGCGGATGGTAGTGCTGCCTTGTCTGTCTGCCTGCTGACAGCGTTCTAGCCGATAGCACGCTTGCGCCTTCCAGGTGGACTACGTCGTCGCACCACCGGTTTACGATGGCAGGGCTTTCGCTGCGATCAAGTTCGACGGCACCGCAGTGATGTGGGGCAACTTTGACGGCATCGGAAGCTTTGGCTACACTTACAACAACGTGAGGCAGCATGGCCTGCAATTACTCAGGTTGTGCAGTACGGTGTGTAGTGATCAGCTTGGCTGTCAACATCCTCGTGCGAGTTGCAATTGCGTCCTGGAGGTCTGTGACCCTAACCTCGTCGCTTGACTGCACTGCACATGGTACTTGTAGTGATGTTGCGAGGAACTTGCACACTCTGAACAGAGAACGCATGTTCACATTGCAGTAGGCGCAGACATGCACAGAGTTGCCAGGGGTGCCGGCGCCGTGCTGTACCAGGACGGCACGGTGGACGCCGTCGGCCCAAGCAATATGGGCGGCGACGCCAGCGCTGTCTCCGGCCAGCTTACCGGTGTTACGGCCATCTACCGAACGGCGCGAGCCTTCGCTGCGGTGAAATCAGATGGCAGCGTCGTTGCCTGGGGCGCCAGTGGCTACGGTGGCTCCAGCGATTTCAGCTCTGTCGCAGCGAATGCGGCATGCTGCGTGCAGGAGCCATGCGCCTGCGCCTGCACCCTTGGCCCCTTTAGTCCTTTAGCCTGCAAAGCCGCAGGAAATCTTCGGGGGTGCCCAAGGCTTCGCAGCGCTGAAGGACGGGACTCGAGAAATAGAGCCTCGGATTCGCTTCTGTGACACATCCACCCTACCCCTCCTGCGTAGGAGGATGGAAGCGTGGTCGCATGGGGAGGGGGCGGCGCCGGCAACATCGGCTCTTCTTTGTCGTCTGGGGTGTCTTTGCCAGTTATTATGAACATCAGGATCTGCACACAGCCCGGGCTGCTGCATTGTGAAGTTGCACAGCTGCTTGTTCGCAGACCTGTGGTTGTTTTGCCTCAAGCTTAGGTCGAGTACATCTTCTACTCCAAATGGATGGACACCCAGTTTCTTGATCTCCCTTATACACACTTTTCACCAGCGGGGCTCTAGTTCACTGATGTTCACTGTTATCTCTGTTCTTGGGTTCCGGATGGCGGATGGGAGGTCGAGGCCAGAAGCCAGACTAGGACTGACTAAGTTTGCGCGCTACTCGATTCGGCTTCATCCTAACTCCGACATACTCTGGCCCAGGTTTGCGGCGGTCAGCTCCGGTGGCGAAGTACCCAAGATGCAACTAGGGATCTCGTCACGGGTGCCTTTTCCGGACACTCATCCTCACCTCCAGCAGTCCTCAAGCATCTCCCCTCTCACGGAAGCCTGTTCCCTGAAAGCAAGATGCTTGGTGGCAGGGCTCAGAGTGTGTAAGATTTCAAGTTTCAAGTTACGGGAATGCACTCGCACCTGGTTCAACGCTTGCAAATGGCTTGCTCAGGTGACGTCCTGGAGCCAATCTGCTCCAGCCAATTTGGCGCTGTGGACCACCAGCACATGGACCACCAGCACAAGCGGCACCGTCACATCCACCACCATAACCACCACC